TTGCTTCCCCAGGACCAGTCTTTAGCTAAAGTTCATTTCTGCGGACTGCAGCATCTCCCAAACACCCCTAACAACCCACCCCCATCACCCCTTCCTTTCTCTTCCTGTCTCTTCCTCCCCAGTGCCTTTGGCAAAGATTTGTAGAAGGTTCACTTTGGAGGGAATCCCACAGATGATCCAGATTCACAGATATGGAAACTGAGGCTGAACAGAGCAGAGACCTGCCCAGCCACACAGTCGGTGAGAGGCAGAGTGGGGGCTCTTGATTTCTGGTCCAGTGCTCTTATGACTTTCACTGCCGTCCCATTCTCACCCAGTGACCCCCACAGCCTCTTCTGCACATCTGATTAAACAAGGGCCTGCTGAGGGCTGCACTGTACGTTAATGGACATGGAGTGCATGGCACAAAGCTGGGCACCTAGGAGGCCATCAGTAAGGATGCCTCCTCCCTTCCTGGGTGTCTGGGGCTTCCAAAGAAGCCTAGGAAATCTTGCCTGAACTGGTCTCCTTCCCTGGCCAGTCAAGACAGGTTCCAGCCGGGGGTCCTTTGGTCACCCATGCTGGCAGCTCAGAAGAAAGGCCAGGAAACAGGTATGGTGCTCAGACAGGGCCTCCGCAAGTTCCTACCCTGCTTTTTTTTTTTTTTTTCTCACACATATTCTTTTTTCAATTGAGTCCAGGTCTCGCTATGTTGCCCAGGCTGGTCTCAAACTCCTGAGCTCCAGCGATCCTCCCACCTAGACCTCCCAAAGATCTGCTTCGAGCAGGAAACCCTGGATAGAGAAAAGACGGTCCCTAGACCACCACACCCCACCTTTTAAGAGAGAACTCCTGGGAAACCCCTTGAAGAAGTGGTCTTCTTTAGGGACTGAGAACACAGACTTCGGAGTCAAATAGACCTAGGTTAAAATTCCAATCCTGTCACTTCCAGGCTGTGTGATTTTAAGTGACTTGCTTAACTTCTCTGAGTAAGTGTAATGCAAACAGTAATTCCCACCTCACTGTAAAGAGTAAACACACAATAAATGTTGGCAACTATTGTGTAATAAATCAATCTTATTATAATATTGTTCTAGTATAGCATAAAAGAAGAGATGAATATTCTATTAATATAATCTTGTTTTATTGTTACACTCTCATAGGCACACATTCACAATTCATCTATACCCACATTCGTAGACACTTTAACCACACACACAAACTCACAACCAGTACACAAACCGCACACCAACCCAGAAAGCAACATCATGTACTCACCATGTACCAGGCACTGCCGCACCCTTAGTCCTCACAACAGCCTGTGAGGTGGGTGTGTTTTCATCTCCCTCCTCTCAGATGAGGATCCACACTGCACATGCACATGTGTTCACTGCGTCCTGGGATGTGGACATTTCTGGCAGCTCTGGGAACCATGAACTCCCTCCCTCCGATCAGAGGAGGCCAACCCAATTTCCATGGTCATCTCCAGGGCAGCCCCAAGCCGGGCCCCAAGTGCTGACTGACCTCCATCCCCAGGACAAAGGCCCAACCTGGTTTTCATGACAGCTGTGGTTGGGGAAACCCCTGTTGCCTGCAGAAACCGAGCTGACTTTGAAAAGGAAGAGACAGAACCCAGGGGGTGGCTGGGCCACTCCCTGTGGGGGCAGGTGCTAAGTAACTCCATCAACTCTGGCTAATGATGCAATTACAGTCATAAACAGGGCCCCAGGAGGGCTCAGGGCCAAAAGCTAGACCCTCAAAGGGCAGCCAGGCTTGAGGGGTGGGAGTCCCTTTCCACCTACTTCCCAGCTTTCCAGAAACAGGCTGAGGAGGCACATGGGACCCTGGAAGGGCTCCTGCCTGCCCTGGCCCACTCCCTGCCCACCTCTGACTGTGAATCACCAGGCCATTAGCCCGCAAAAGCCCAGCTGGCTCTCCCTGGATTCGGTGCCCACCTAGGGTGTCCCCTGTCCTAGCCCCTGAACTCCTTCCAGGGCACCCAGGACCAAGATACCTGGGTCCCCATTTGGCTCCGCCTCTCAGAGCTGAGTTGAGGACAAAATAACCCTGCAGCTGTAACAGGCCTTGTAAATGGTAAGCACCATTGGCTTCCCTCGGGGAGAAGCAGAGCATGTCGTCACCCAAACAGCCCTGCCCTTCATTTACACCCTCTGGCTCCCAGCTCTCCGGGCCTCGCGGCCAAGAAGCAGACGGAAAGAAGGGAGCCAGGCGAGTTGCCCATGGTCCTGGGGCTGGGGACACCGGCATGGTGAAAGCATACCGTCAGGTTAGCAGGCAGGGAACTCAAGGCAGCTGACCCTTCCCCTTCCTCTGCCTCTCCTGGCAGGCCAGGAACTACTGCTGGCTGTCCCTCCCCGGACAGTGCGCTCCCTGAGGGGAGGGCCTGAGGACTGTCTCCCAGTCGTGGCACCAAGAACTGCATTCTAACCGAGCGCGTCCGCATCTGGCCACCCAGGAGGAAACCAGAGACCAGCCTCCCACCTCATCTCCAGCTGCCCAACAGTGCCATGTCTGGGCCAATGGAATCTCGGCCAGGGCGGGTGTAGGGGCCTGAGGCCACCACATCCCAGAGGTGTCGCTAGGGGCCTGCATCCTTTCACTGAGGGATGAAGCAGCCCCTCACTCGGGATGGAGGGAGGGCAGGGGATGGGAGCTGGGCAGTAATTAACCTGCACTTCCCCAGCGAGTGCTAAGCCAAAAACTGCGCTCAAGTTGAGTGCAGAAGCTCCGCGCTGAACCGTCCCCAGAACGGACAGGCGAGAAAACGACGGCTGGAGCTAACAGGGGTTTCGGGGGAAGGCGCAGCGGCCAGGGGCTGGCGGAGAACGGAGGGCGGGGGCCTGGGCCCAGCAGG